AAAAAATTCTATAGAACAATTGTATTTTATATAGAGGATTGTAACTGATACTATGTACCCATTCTTTTGTTCCATGTGCAGACCGTGATCATTGTTGACCGCAACTAATTCCAAGACAGCGGACTTAACAAATAGACAGGGTTCTTATTTATGATCACGGTCTTCTCTTTTGTTTTATTGCAGTTCTTAACTAACTCCACGGGGGGAGTCTTAACTATCGTCGACATCCAAAATGGGGGCTGGCCCGAACTGCACCAACTGACGCCCCAAAGCGGGATTAAACAAGGGTAGACGCCTATAGCTCCCCTGTATCTCCTCGTCGAGCGGATCATACAGCTCCAGATGAGGCGGGGTATGCTTAACTACCTTATCCGCCACGCGTAGCAAATTCGCATGCAACGGAAAGTGAACCACTGGCGAAGAGTCTACCAAAAGCCTGACATAGTACGATCTGCGATCAAAGTCAACACTAAGACCCGACAAATTACAAAAATCAATGCCCAGTAGCACGTCAAACGGTAACTCCTCTACAACGAAAAAACGATGCGAAAACTCGCGCTCAGCGAGACGGAACTTGAGTTCGTTGAGCCCACTAGACCACTTGGCATTACCAAAAACCCCCCTCAAAAGGTTCTGAGCCTGCAAAGGCTTCTTTCCTAAAGTCTTAACCAGGGAAGAGCTGACCAGGGAGATCCTAGCTCCTGTATCTATCTCCGCTGCCACAAACGTGTCGCCAATCCCAACTGCAATAGTGGGTTCTGGTGCATTTTCCCGCTCACTCTCAGCCGGTAACAGAGACGAAGTCTGCACGAACTTCACTGACCTAAATGGCGTAGGCTGCGTATGCACCCTAGCCCTGTCAAATGACGGGCAATCTTTCTGCAAATGACCCGGCATCTCACAACAAAAACATACCACATTGTAGCTCTGCCTAGTGCCTGCCCTAGCGTTTCTAACTGCAGGTCTGTCTCGAGTTGGTACAGCCTGTTGAGGGGCGGAGTTGTTGCCTCTATTAACAAAGTCCCTATGCATCGGCGCGAAACTATCGTTATGATATCTGAGATCCTCGCGCCGGACTATCATAAAGTTGTTTGCAAGCTGGCCAGCATGTGCCACAGAAACCACTTCGGCCTGTTGCAAATAGTGTCTGAGATCGTCATTACGTATTGTATACATGAACTGATCAATAAGCACTGTCTCCAAAACCCTATAAAATTGTGCATGTCGCAATAGATCCTGAGGAGGTTTAAGCCACCTGTGAAAATAGGTTTGCAAACGCCCTGCAAATTCCTGAAATGTTTCATCCAATGATTTACCAGCAGCCCTAAAGTTAAAGGGACAGTAGCCTCTAGGATTTTACTGCATACAACTGTAAGTACTTAAATTACTGTATAACAAATCGTCTATACCCACACGTATTTGTTACCAGATACCTAATTTAATTGTTATAATTATTTACACATCATCGCTATAAAATTTGAACGGCGCCATGACACCCGCGACCGTGCTGCCACCCCGAAAAAGTTGCGTATTTGACAATTTATTTTGCAGGTTACAGACCGAGGGCTAATCACAAAAGTGCAATTATATTTATACCTAAATGCTATTTAACCGAACAATATTCATTTTAGGGCAAATTTATCAATATTATAACTGAAACTATATATGTCGTTTATAATTAAGATATATTACAATCCTTTTGCTTTTAAATGAATAAATAAGAAACACCCTCGGTCTGTAGCCCTTGGCTGGAAAGTGGTTTTGCGCAACTTATCAGATCGTGCGCTTTGAGTGGCGCCACCGTCGTTGTAATCAAACTGTAGTCGTTAGTTTTAAAACATTTTTTAATAAAATTTCGAATGGTGATTGAACCATGAAACTTTTTATGTAGCGTAATTATAACCTAAATTCGCTGAAAATAACCCTAGAACCTAGAGTAAACTCTCCCTTTAACTTTATAGGTTTCTGACCTGTCGACCTGTCGACCAGGTCTATCCTGTCGACTGTGCAAAAATGTAAGGGTTGATCCTTACACGAACGGTTCTCCTGGTCATCTGGTGGAATGAAGTGCCCCGAGTCAACCCCGGGCGGTCCTTATATACGTTCACTGCCGTGGCCTCGGCAGGCTTGCAGTGAATCCCGTGTCGAAGCCTGTATGTGAATCCTGTAGAATGGCTTCGGTCCGTATCTGGCAGTGTTGACCCCTTACAGTGTACCCTAACCCTAGCCCTAACCCTAACCTTAACCCTAAACATACCTTATATAAAAATCTAGATAGATCCAAAGATAGAGAACATGGGTCCCAATAAAACCAATGTGCTTGGCTAATACCCTGACCTTAACCCTAACCCTAATCCTAACCCTAACCATAACCCTAACCAAAAATATAATCAATATAATCAATAATATTGATGTAAATGACTTTGGTTTTATTGGGACCCATGTTCTCTATCCTTGAACCGTTGTGGGCCGTGTTGATTCTGCTCAATCATAGTTTGGGACCACGGATTTTATTTATAATTATAATATAAATTATATAAACAAACTACAAACAAACGAGTACTGAGTAGGCCCTAGGCCTATGCCTAAGACTTATAATACTAGTAATAGTCTAATAGTAATACTAATAATAGTAGTACTTTGAAAAATTGGTCCTACCCCGCCACCACTTATTGCTCCGATTCCGTCGAATTTCCTTCCTACACCCGGTGAATCATCAACTGTATACGCATCAATTTCATATACAGTTATCAAAAATACGATTACTATTAGTATGGCGTTACGAAACCCACACGAGTTTTTGACTTTCAATAATAACATGTTGTAAAACACATGTACAGTTACGTACGTCAACGTTATAAACAATTTACAACTAAACAAGTATGTTAGTATACATCCTGGTCATCCATTCATGTGCACACAATTGTGACGTCACTTCAAACGTTGTATCAACACTCTACGCCCACTATATCTGTCAACCAATCACAACTTTCTGCGTAAATTATGTGCGCAATCATAAATCTTTATAAAAAAATTTCAATTTCATTCTCAACCAAGTGTAGTTTAAATCGTCAATAGCCTAATTAATTCAGTTATTATGAAGGAAATTGCAGACAGGGATATTTACTAGAGAATTATACATAGAAGGTATAACGGATATAAGGTATAACTGTTCGACATACGCGAACGCAGGACACGTACGTTACATTATATATTATGTGTTGTCATGATATGTCATGTTCTGATACTTGCCGGTGCCCTGATATGGAACATAGGTAGTGATGCATCTGCATGAAACTACACTAGCTATATCGACGTTAAAGTTCTATTACGGTTTTATTCACTATAGCCCCAGACCACTACGCCAAACGGACTCGATCCTTTGCTGACGCTGAGGGTGGTCGCTGCAAATGTACTCACTCCCCGCCGGGGAGAAAATTAACAACTCATCGAGGAACGACATAAAAATAATTGCACCTATACAATACAACACATAACAATTCGATATAATCTTACTATAAATTGGGGATTTTCTGTGTGTGTGTT